CACTGTACGCGAAACCTTAGAGTTGCTGACCCCTCGTTGCCTCCCGGCTACTCACTTACTTCACGACTTCGAATCTTCCTTACAAGTCATAAAATTGTCAGATGGTCAAACCGAGTGTGCCGTTTTAAGTTTTAAAGTTGCGTAACTCGACCAACGAAGTTTCGCGAGTGTCCGGCGAAAAGAAACGAAAGTGATACTTGAAACAGTTTACGTGTTTACGTTCGTAAGTTGGAGGGGGGTGGGGGAACTGGCTCGGTTGAATTGTAAAAAGGTAACTAATGTTTTCGGTTCATCTTGACAAAAGAAAATAAAAAGGTTTTATGCTCCAATACGATCGGAATCGAAATGGCAAAGTTATAGTCCTCCAAATTGGCAATTGGGCGTTTTTGCACACTTTTAACCAATTTGGGGGCTAGTAACTTTCCCATTTCGACTCAGATCGGCTTTCAGCATGGGACATTTCCTTGAAATTTTAAAAAAGAAATCCAAATGTTGTAATAACACTTTAAATTTTGTAAATTTTATAAAATCCTAATTTTCAATTTTTTTATTTCAACTAAATGTTATCGTGTTTACTTGTAGAATAATTAGAAGTCACATAATCTTTCAATGTGTCAAAATGATTATTAAACAGACAACTTCTTTGCTCAAGCGCCATAGACTTGCAATTGACCGAACAATATTATAGCCAACATCGCAAACTTTGGTAGGATAAGCCCATCGAAAGCTGAACAAGGTATATCATTTTCTTAAATTGACTAGCTGTGTCTGGAGTCATATTATGGCAGATGAAATCCAATGAAATGGTAGGAACTGTGAAATTAAACTCAATGATACGATACATTACAGAACATTCAATTTAATATAATTCAGGGACTCGTGATCCTTAAAATGCCTCGGAGAGATCTGATAAAAATGAATGAAAGAGTGACAATAAATTATACTTGTCGTAGAAGAGAAGTTTAGATGTATTTTGAAATTAAATTAAAGATTAGGGTATTTAATTTTACTTCAACCACAAGCATTCTAATAGAATTTAACCTTTCACAAATAAATGGATTTGATTAGAATGAAATGTGCAGAAAAGGGTAAGTTAAGTAGAGGGAGGGCAGTGGGGATAAGAAGGGACAGTAGCAGACACGTTCTGTAAGTGAACTGTGGTAACACATTTAGGAAGGCATCCCCCTCTAGAAACCAGACTTCCCAGGATGAACAGAGGGGGGGGGGGTCCTTAAATGAATGCGTACACTTCACATACAGAACATGT